GCTTCTCGCAAGAGCACATCCTTTCCGGTGTCTTGCGTAGAGCTAGCGACTGTGCGTGTACGCCAGTCTATTCATGGTTGGTGTTTAGCCAACCAAGGCATGCCTAGGATGAGGTCATACGGACTCTCCATACCTAGCACTGTGAGCTTCTCTTTACAGGAGAAGTCACTGAAACTGAAGACGAGTTCAACTTGAACTCCCTCCGATTTTACGAGCGCGCCGTTCGCTAAACGAACGATCGCCTCTTCTCGCTTGCCATCCTGGCAAAGCGACTCATAACTCGCCGGCCTCCTTTTCAGAGCCGCGAGTTCCACAAAGTTTTGTGATGCACCCGAATCCACGAGAAGGGTCATCCTTGGTCATAGCCTCGTACTCGAGCGCTATAGACCAAAAGGGTTCAGGTCCGACCTTTCGAAACCTCAGGGACTATGCTACCCATTTGTTCGATCACTCCGAACTTAGGGGTAGCTTCAGAGTCCGCGACAGTAGGGCATCCCGCCCCTACTGCGCTACCGCATTTCCCGACCCATCTTGGGCAGGTGCTGAACCTGTGCGTCGTGCACGCTGGTTTTTCGCACCTCCCTTCGGGTTGGGAGACCTTTTGCTGGCTGCCTTAGCACCAGCAGCTACTTTGGCATAGCAGCGAGCCATCATATGGCCTCGCTTGCCGCACTTGTAGCAGATCACATCTGCATTGCCTAACTCCATAGGAGTGGCATCAGACCTTTCGGTCGACGGCCTGTAATAGGCTGTCGCCGAGGCGCTGTTGTAGGATTGCTCCTCAACTAAGGCAATGTCAATTGCCTCTTCCATCGTCGCTGGCACCTTTCTGAAAAGGGCCTGACGCGATGGGCCATGCCTAAGTCCATTCATGAACGTGGCTACCTTGATACGCTCTGGTATCGGTTCCCCATTGATGGAAGCCGACAGCGAACGCATCTCCTGCACAAACTCTTGCAGAGAGCGTTTCGCCTGTCGTGCTCCAAAGAAGCGCGCCATAAGCAACACTTCGTTGTTAGGCGGCTGGTACATGGCGCGAATCTTTGCCTTAAATATCGCCCATGATGGAAATGCATCAGCATTAGCCATCAGCGCAGAGTATGCCCACTCTGACGCTTTGCCACGTAAGTTGGACATGGCATACGACACCATTCTGGTGTCGTCTTCGATGAGCTGCGCCACTCCACATGCTCCACTGTTAATAGCCAGTGAACAATCGTGTGAGGGCTAGTTCCATCGAACTTCGGAGGGTCCATCCGAATGGGCCTCGGTTGAGCAGGCCGGGCAGAGAGCGTCTCAACAGTTCTGTTGAGCGCCTCATTACGTGCTTGCTCAAGCCTAAGCTCATCCTGAGTCTTAGTGATGGACTAAGCGGTGGCTTGGCTGTTTACCTCGGACGCGTTTCTACGCTGTCCGAGCACAAACGCCTCAAATTGCTCCAACTGAGCAACATGTTGCTCCGACGACAATGTAAGAGGTTGACCATGGCTTGTTCACCAAGTCCCTGCGCCATATGCTCTGCCAACTCCCTTTGATGTTGGGAGAGGTGAGGGAAGTCACTCCAGTCCATATTAAGGACCATGTCAACCACACGCACGCTCAGAGAGACGGGTCGTGGGAAGGACTACTAGTGCTACCAAGTGTAGACGGGCACTTCTACGAAGTTGCCTCGTACTACGAGCACACACCTTATGCACAAGCGAGGAAGCGGTTATACCGTCTTACCTTCGCGTGCGAGGGTGGTTAGGAGGTTGGTCGACTGCTTAAGCAGTCGTACCACCAGTTGCCTCTCGCTTAAGCGAGAGTGCAACGAACTTCTTAACAAGAAGGCACCGACGTCACGCAGAATCTTTTCAACTTCTCGTGGGTGGTGCGTATGTTTATGCAAATTCAAGACTGAGGTATATATAATGAATTATAATTCAATATAAACTTAACTACCGATTAACTATATATATAAACATATATATATAGATCGGATACGCGACTCTTTAGAAGCGTATCCTGACGCATGAGCTTAAATCTAGATTTAAGACCGCAACTGACGTCCTTCTGAGACGTCGCGATGCCTAGCTTCAACTAGCGTCATCCCTTCCCATGTGAATCCAAAAATGGATATCACATTCACGAGGGTGGATCACATTTGTGTATCGCACCTAAGTGACACGTCAAAAGTAATCATGGATACTTTTAGACCAAACATTAAGTGTATTACTTAATGTTTACGTGTACCCTGTTACAGAATTGTAACAGTAGAGGCATTGATCAAGCGGTGAAAGAGATGATAAATGCTGCAGTCATACACACACTCAAGGCGAAAACCGAGTTGCCAAGGAAGGCGATCTAAAAAAACGTCGGCTATTGAAGCCGCTTCTTATGAAGCACCAGCACATGAGATTTACATTGCAGAACTTAAGATAATTTTGCAGAGCCTCTCGATGCGGAACAGGTCATATAGGACAGTGAGTTCAATATATCGTCAACTGAGGGCTCTGGAAACAAACGATCTATTGCACTTGAAACCGGTGCGAAACCTAAAGAAAGCATGACAGAGATACTCGAGAGCATCCCGTGGTGACAAGGAGATTGCCAATGAAGACAAATAAACAGGCAATTGCGTCGAATGTGGAGAGTGATCGGATCGTAGCTATTCAATTGGTAGTGCACTGGACGAGAGATCCTGCGACAAAATAATGCTTCCTCCTCTGGTGTCATTGCCCGAGGTGAGTGACGGAATGGTCGAGAGAGCTCCACCACCCATTCCTCCGTCGTCGACCAGCTGGTCGCCTCCGTTGCCAAACTTCAAGCTCCGTTGTGTACTGCTGCAGTCTACTTTCCAAGTTCCGGTAGTGTTAGTAACGGCAAGGTCCGTTAAACTGCTGGGAGTGTTTTTAGGGGTATTGCGAAACTTGTAGCGCTGCCATCCTCTTTCTTGGCGCGGAGACCTCTTGCTGTTCAGTCCCGCGTTGCTTCGATATAAGCCAAAGCCTGTCAGGCCAGAAAATCGATGTCTTTGCGTTGGGGATGACGTGTTTTACCCGCTGCGTCTTGCATGCTATCACTCCTCCCGTGTGTATGGGCGTATGCAAAGAGCGCTGGATTAATCTTATGGCGACTGGGCTTCGTGCTGGTAGAGGGATGCCACAGGAATTGCTTTTAAAGGTTCCTTAGTTGTTGCTCTGCCCTTGATGGCATCTCAAAGACAGCCGCTGTAAACACACGGCTGGCAGCATTATTACGTTGAGAATCAAAACTCTGTTTTTGACACTGGTTGCGAGCCAAGTCGTTGTCGCCGTTGTATGTTACGGATACGCACAGCTTAGCTCGCAGTCTGCGCAGTCTAAGTATCATATCCGTGTGTCGTAATTCCTATGTTCCATGAAGATCCTCCCTGTCGACGACTGTGTTTAGAAACATAATTTTACTATTTGTCGATTGTACCTTCAAGTCTGACATCCGTTTCACGATGTATATCACTCTAGTGTTGCGTCTCCTGCATAAACACCGCCAAATTGTCGATGAAAGCCACAAACTTCTGTTCCACCAGCCCCTCCTGGCACTATAGACCTAGATCTCAGTATCTTGTTTAATTGCCAGCGCCAGTTTTTTTTGAGATGAGAAAGAGCAACGGGGTAATTGAGCACCCCTGCCGTCTTCCGAAGACCACCTCCTGTGGTTCAGCAAGTTATTCACAACGCTTTCCGAAAATTGAGCAAGAGAATGGCCCGACTGTGCAGAGCTGCCAGCTCCAGTTCGGCCTTGGCTGTTGCCAGGAAAGCCAGCATCATCATCACGATTTTGCGCATCTGCCTGCCATGGATGAAGCCTTGCTGCGACTATCCAATAGGTGTTTCCAATACTCATTGGGCTCGCGTCGCGATGATTTTTGTATAGACCTTGTATTCGGGTTGAGGAGTGCGATAGGGCGGTAGTCTCTAGCGTCATTAGTATCGTTTCTTACTTGTCAGCGGGATGATCAACCCCTGCAAGAGCTATTTTTTAAGAATTCCAGACATGGTAGTCCGTCAATGTATGTCTGTGTGCCAGAGCTGTGCCGGGGAGTGTGACATCAGAAGTGGTTGTTGCCTTTTTTCTGTAAGCCGTCTCGGTATTGTAGCCTTGTGATTACTACCAAAGTGCTGAATGTAGCTGGCTTGTAGCTCGATGGAACTGTTGGCGTTTGTAGTGGTACGTAGGCGTACATGTTGTTATGGGAGTGGACACCGTGTTTCGAGTTCGCTGTTTCATTTTCACCAGCATCTGTTGATCAGTTTCGGTGTGGTTGATGATGTTAGATTTTTAAGAAGGAATGACGAGCTATAAAGGCTAAGTTGCCTCCTGAACGCAAGCATAACCCCCTGACCACCCACAGAGAAAAGGAAAAAGTTACCTCCCGCAAGTATGCAAATTGATCTTACGAAGATTGGGAGTCGACCAGTCGGTGCTCAGCGAGATCCTGTGTGTCTGGTCTTTAACAAAGTTCACACGTTAGAGGCCATAAACGTCGATGTGGAGGTGCTTGACGTCGTCGCTGCGGATGAAGAAGAAAAAGAACGGCCAAACGCATTGTCGCGTGAAAGAGGCTGGGTTGTGACACCGGAATCGGGGAGGCTTTGACAATGCTGAGGACAAAAGATCTGATGTGTCGCTCGTGAAGATGAGAAAAAGTCCCGCTTCCGCTTCCCGAATGGTATAAAAAGCCGCTTTGAGAGACACTTCACCGTCGCAGTAAAACAGAAAAGGAGCAACGGGATTCTGCAGATCGTCAAGATCGCGCGATGGAAGTATGATCCAGCCAGCTTCAAGCAATATTTGCATTTGAGCCGAGCAGGGTCACAGAAAATAGTAGGGAATTGTCTTCATCTGTACGGAGCGGTCCTAAGGATTGTTGTATATCAAGACTAAGCCATACTTGCATACTGATTAAGCACCGGATGGGGTCTTTTAGTCTTGTCACTTTTCATTTTGCTCTCAAGTAATCAATAGCTTCATTTGTGAAGATGCCAGTTAAGCTCTCACTCGCCAAGGCGCTGATTATTATCATGCTCGTCGTACTTTTGGCCACGGCAATGGAGACGACAGTAGGGCTACCAGAGGATGCCCAAGAATCAGATACGTTGCATGTGGATCATACACCCCTGACCTTGAGACAGAAGCGTTACTTGAGGTCAACCGCGAACCTAACGTCAAGCACACTACTGCAATCCAGTGTTGGTGCGAGAAGGCTGACTTCTCTTCTCTCGGAACTCAAGAAACTCTCTGCCAATATGGGTGAAAGTACGTCGGCGATCATCTCATCGGCCACTACACACTTTAAAGCGACAATGTTTGGCCATCAGCAGGAATTATCGAACGATAAGTTTATTGACCTGAAGCTCAACGATATGGAACAAAAGCTCTTTGATAACCCAAATCTCGACAAGTGGATAGATTTCGTCAAGGCAAACACCCTTTCGCAAGAAGAAGCGGTTGCCCAAATGTGCAGGACTCTGTGGCACATGTTCCCAAAAAATAGTGATAGACATGCATATCTGGTCAAAAATCTAGGTGGAGTAAAAGCTTTAGACAAACATGGGAAGATAGCTAAACTTCTTCGCGAACGTCAGATGGGGATATGGGCAAACCTGAGGATGACGCCAAAAGAAGCAAGCGAATATCTGGGTATGAACAGAGTATTGAAAGACGATCTAATTGACAGCCCAGAATTTACTATGTGGGGTGCTTACATGACCCAAAGACATCAGGGTTACCGTGACGCTCTCCATATCCTCGCAAAACAATTCGATTCAATAGATGCTGATCTGGTGAGGAAGCTAGCAGCAATTCACGTCGACAGTGAGAGCTTCTCTTTTGCCCAAGGCCTGATATATTATTACTGCTGGTTTTTGCGCCAGGCTAAAATAGATCCGGCCATATTTTACAAGGATCTAAAGTTTGATATTTCTCTATTCACGGAAAATATTTCCAAGTCCCTGTTGAAGGAACCGCTTGTCAGGATTTGGTTGGACTACACGTACTTGAAAGCGATGGTTCATTGGAAAATCAACGAAAACCAAGTGTTAAAAACACTTAACGATGTTTTTGGCGATGGTAATGGTATGAATATCCTTAAGAAACTAAAAGGAATGGATAATCTTGGCCGTGTTGGTGCAGAAAATGAAACGAATGATTTGGCAACGTCGATGGACAGGATTCTAGAGATATTAAAGAAGAATCATATTCCGCTGCAGGACTGATGAATCGAGTGGGCAGTTTGGGTGAATACGCCAATGTTGATGCTGATAACAAGGAATTTTTCGATATCGTGCCATTATTTCGACTTTATCAAAAGTATTTTATAAATAAAATACACTTTTCATACACTTTTTGTTTCGTTATTGTAAAGTTAATTGTCGAAATATAGCAACGAGTTAACGAGTAGTCAAATGCAATGACATACAGCCTTAGGAATCTGAAACTTGGTCTTCTTGTTTGCTGTGAGGGCGCCGCAATTCAAATAACTTGTAGTCGACTTTGTGCGCTTCTAGGGATGACGTTGAATACCTGAATATCAGCAACATCTTAGGTATTAAATTCGGTGCGAGACTGCGAGTAGGTCGAGTAGGACTGGCCATACCGAAGTTATGTTGTCCAGATCAAAAATTCTTCACTTTTTCCAAGACGTTGAAAGATTCTCAAAGAAGACGTTGATTTCCTAAAACGCACTACTTTTCTCTTCGAATCTTAGAGTGGGGCGCCTCATGTGCTACTGCTTCTTGCTCCAGCATCCAGCGCCTGAATAACTCACCACAAAAGTCTCGTATCATCAGAACAAGTAGCAACTCCCGTCTCCTCCTCCGCAGCCTTCGATATAAAGCTGTGCTGTTCAATCAGCGTCTTCCACTGCAGCGATTTTCGGAAAATTCTGCTTGTGACGTGAGTGAATCGTCACTTTTACCATTTTTTACCATTCTGGCATCGTCTAGCACCATGTCTTCCCTCGTTTTGCATCTCGATATTCCTGAAGAGCAGCAGCATTTCTGTGACGATAAAAGGATGAGAATAGTGAAGCCTTATCGAGCAATCAATACTGTCCAACACGTTAGTGTAACTGCATGGCATCCTTGCATGGTGCTTCAAATCGCCTTTATGTAGCTATCGTCTCCACATCAGAAAGAAGACAGAACCACTATTTCCCGAAAGTGGCTACAAGCGCTCTATAGCCTGCAACTTTGGCGAACGATATCCAGTAGAGCGTCTTTCTTATCCAGTGATTCCAAAAGAAAAACACGAGTTTCTGTCCAAACAAGAAGCAGTTAGTATGATCTCACGGCCAGAACACATGGAATTGCGGTTCTCCTACCTTCGCCTCCACTGTCATTCACCCCTGAAACATTAAAAGCAAACACCTTGTCATCGGTCTTGTCATTGACTGCTTGAGGCTTTTCAAACTATAAACAAAACGGTGCCCACACGTAATCACCAGTGAACTACCACATCATTAAGAAAAAGCTTTGATTCCATTGAGCACCTACCACGAGCTGTAGATATGGTTGAGACCCTTCTTCCGCATCATCCTTACTTTTCCACAACAAAAAGCGATACGCGCGATAAACCAGAAAGCAGGTCTAGTACACAAACAATACATTGTCAGTCTACTATCGCTCAAATAAAAGAGATGAATGGCGGGGCACACCTTTGCATAGCGATCACCTTCGGCTTTTGTGGATACGGTCCCGATCCACAACGCGTGATAACGAAGACGGACCGCAGTCTCCTCCTCCTCTTCTTGCTGAGTTTTGCGCGTTTTCATGTAAACGGCACGCTCAGGTTCGTAAAGCTCGATTAAATCTTGGTCGGTAGGAAGAGACGATAGGTAATTCCACAGAATCTTCTTGACACGCTTGCTGGTCGGGGCATCGTCCACAAACACAGCTCCAAATTCTGTTAAGCCGAAAATGAAGATTGCCCAACGGCCACGAATAACGGAAAACAGCAACGCCATCATAGCTACAACCACGAAGGCGGTTGCAGTTTTCCAAGGGTGTGTCCAGTTCAAAAGATTCTCGGCGCATGCTAATGCTCCACATGTACGACCAATCTCAGTTTGCAGCTGTCTAATGGTGTCTTTCATCTTCCAGAAAGCGTCAAAAAGGTTTGCTCCGATAACCTTCGACTTCTCTTTTTCAATCATGGCCTCACACACAAACTCAGAAAAGTTGCGTTCCACATGACTCACTTGTCGCTTTTTTCGCGCTACGGTTGGTTGAGCTGGTCTCAATTGCTGCGATTCACAAGTTTCGTTCAGACATACTTTATCATTTGGCGACATCGTACCTTCCTTAGGGATGTGAAAGTCAGCGCGTACAACGAGATAATCACCATCTAACTTTTCTAGGTCTTGAGAAGTGGAATTGGTGTTGCCGTTTGGTGTAGAAAATGAAGACAGCGGAAGATACAATTCACTCGACTGGTCGTCTCGCTTAAGAAGACGTCGAAGCGGAATCGTCGTCGTTGCTGCAACAAGATCTGCTGATTCCTTTGCTTCGCCGCTCAAAGAAATGCACAAATCGAATTGCAGAAGACCAGGGAATGATGACCACGGAACCAGATCATCATGACCAGAAAAGTTTTTCCGAGATGCTTGCGGGATTGGAAAATAGTAGGCATGGTGATCGACGCCGTAACTAGTGGCTACATCAGACGCTTCTGCTGCATCTTTCAAACTTCGCTGGTATGCAGAACATTGATTGCAAGCGCACATCTTAGCATTATGGCGCCAAGATACGTTAAAGTTCCGGAACGGAAATGTTTTTCGAAGGTTTGCAGCAAGTATGGTACCAGCTGATGACAACGAGTTTTTGCGCCATACTGGATTCCGGCTTTTGCCGACGACATCCGTCCACGCAACAATCGCCTCATCGTAACCAGAAGGGTTAAGCACTATATCCCTTGACTCGGATTGCTTGTCATTTGGTCGATACTTAATTCGAACATAGTAACCAAGCTTTGACGAGGAAACATCCTTCATATGTGACTGCGATTCAATGAGAAGACTGTCTGTCTCGCGAGATACATGTGCTTCGTGCACTGCAACATGCAAGTCAGCTAACGGCCTGTATAGCTTCAGCTGTTCCTCTTGTTCTAGCTCGTACTCCTCGTAGCCTATCCAGCGTGCAATATAAGCCCCCTCGAGCCGAACATGCAGTCGATACAGCATGTACATGAGGATCCCTCCAAATACGTACGATAGGGCGTATTCAAAGTCAGCAAAGACACAGCTGTACACGAATAAAACAAAGCACACCGCAGATTTTTTCTTGTTTTTCCACGAAATTACGCTGGCATATCCGGTATCAATTCCTTGGAAAATCTTCAACGCCCGACCAAAACGCTCGATTGTTATCCGCAGCGATTCAACCGAAAAGTCTTTGTCCTCGCGTTCGAGAAGATAAGAATCGTCGTTTGCACGTACACGTAGCAAGTCTTCTTTGTGTTCCACATATGTCAAATCAATAAGTGTAAAACCAAGTTTCTCACCGGGTTGGAGTTTACATCCCTGAGGCGGCGATAACTTGAAACGTTCTTTGTCACTCAGTATTGGCAGTGTTACCCATGAATCGTTGATTGCAGCTTGGTTCACCTCGTTATTCAGACTCAAATGGCGAAGAGGATTGCGCAAACCAATCAAAATCGGGTTTGTCCAAATGAATGTATCAGCTTCGCGCTGGAGTAGCTGAAAGAGTGAGACGTTAAATTGTGCAATGCACAGATCCGAATTGAAATCGATCACTTCAATGTGGAATACCGAGTTTGGATGCCGAACCTTAAAGCACAAATTCTCCATGTACATCGGATCTGCACTCTTCAATACAGGGCTGGTTTCATGCATAACGCCGTCAAAATTGATACGACAGTAGGTGTCCCCTTCAAAAATGTTCTTCGCGTGAAAATCGTCTCGGCAGTGCTTCGTACACAAATGTAAACCACGAAAACTCACAAAAAGGTCCCCTGCTGAATGTGATACACCGTCATTTAGTACGCGATAATCAATACCTTTATGCTCTATTTTCTTTTGTCCAGCGCTCAGTAATTCTTGGGTCACACATTCACACTGGATCGTAGCCTTCATTATGCATCCTTTGTGAACGTCAATACCACAAAGTTCACATCGGTAGCCCCAAATACTTTTCAGTGCATTCATGATAGACCGACCGCCTGAATAGAGCACAGGATCCAATAAGCAAACCAACTAAATATAACCATTATCAACGTAGCAGTGACACGTACACACTGCGCAAATAGGGATCGCAAGACCGATGGATTTGAGTTGATGGACACGAAATTTGTGTGCGTTAGTCAAACTGATCTCTCCTTCTGTCGGTACAAACTTGATCGCAAGCATAATCTTGGGCTGCCCCGTGCTATGTGTAAGCAAGGAACGAGATGATAAGGTAAACCACCTTTTCGCTTCAATATTCGGGTACCGGAGCAGAGGACTCATGTCCAGTAAAGTACAAGCAATCTGGTCGTCGGCAAGATAATTGTAATTGTACACCTCGACATCCAATAGCGGGATTGGCGTGATAGTGCTGTTGTACATATGAGAAAACTGCATCGTATTGCCGTTCATGGTACCCCAAACAGGATTTCGACCACCATTTTCAACCGGTTTGGTCTGCAATGGTTCTTTCCAAGGAAGCAACGATAGTCTGGCGTAAGGCGCTTGCTTGCCAATTAGTTGTATCCCAGGCAATTCCATCGCACAATGCACCGTTACGTGAAAAGTACCAGGTCTGTTTAAACTTGATACAGGAGTCTTTGACAGGCTTAAAAACTCATCACGAGACGTAATTTCCGGGTGTTGTGCTAATACATTTGCCGTAAATTGTGCACATCCCTCGTGCGTAATAATGTCGGTCTTTATGAACCGATACATGCTGCTAGTAGCATCATCAGGCCATGACACTTCACACATGTCACATGTTCTTGGATACTTGTCAATGTTGTCAGGTATTTCTTCGATTTCTCCCGTCATAAAAATTGCATCTACCTCTGGAAACTGATCAAGTGGATGTGTATGCGTGTGATCATCCAAAGTCTTTTGTATTTTCATAAACGTTGAATTTGTGGCGCCAATTTTCTTGAGTCGGGATCTAGTTTACAGAATATTGCAATACCACATCGAAAAAAAGAAAAAAACATCAGTAAAAGCAACTTTACTCTTGTAAAAACAAAAAGCCCCACCACACATTCGATCAAACGTACATAGCCGCTCCAATTGGTGTCGTGGCCTTTAATTTCATCATCTCATGTGTTACTTCAGGATCGCGTGTCGCAAACTTTTCCTGCAATGCGTCCAGTTCTTTCGACGTACAAAGACGTACGACATCTCGGTCGGATATAAACTTGCCCATTTCTTCGTCTTGAGGGACTACAAGTCCCGTGGATTCATTGAAACACTGCAATTTCTCATGCTTTAACACGTGCTGGAGTTCCCATTCCGCCACTATGGACCTTAGTGACACTGTTTTTTTACCTTGTACATGACGTTTTGTAAGGCCTTTACAAAGCCTATAACAGATAAATAGAATAATAACAAGAGAAAGAACAGTTTCTAGTCGTTAAGGGAGGGGGGGACGTGTCTTACGTACCAAAAGTCGACGGTATCCGCGCTATTCTTGGCCCGAAATCGAAGCTCCATGATTGGAAGATTTTGATTTTAGAATGTGGTTCAACTCGGAATTAATAGTAACAATTTGATGTAAAATACCCAATTCCATTTCACGCAAATCACTTCAATTTTCAAAGTGATACTATGATTAATATTAGTGGTGATACTATGACTAATACTAGTGACGCCGAGACAGTATTTGAGGACGATTCGCCTTTATCTCCGTGTCTTTGGACGCTTAATCAAGTGATAGAGAATCAGCATCAAAGGACTGTGAACCAAGAGAGTTATAGTAAAGGCAAGTACGCAAGACTTTGACCTTCCATACCTTTTTATTCATGAAAATGTATTGATTTAAGGACTAATGCAACCCCTTTAACCAACTCGTTTGAATAGACTGTAATCTAATACCTCAGCATCATGAGTTGCAACTATCACCGGCATCACAGCTAAATGTGCTTTCCCACATTAGTGAACTTGCTGACGCACCATCACGACAGACTGGCATTGTGTCGAGATTAGGAACTCAACAGACACAACGTTCCAATGTGTGGGGGGCGGCAATTCAAACTGCAAAGCGAAAAGAGACCTCGCGACCTGTTAAAAGTTCCAGAGCAAGGTCAAAGAGACACAAAAATGATCAAAAGCCAATGCAATCGCAGACCGATCGACTAGCTACTGATATGCTTGACTGGGAGACTTGTAGCGGTACGAGAATGAACAAGTAGTACTGATTGTTGTTTCATATTTACGAGAGACAATTATGTTACTTTTTTTGTATTACTTTTGGTATTTGAACAGAAGGAGATTTATTTACATTTGAGGATAAAATGGAGGAAGATCAGTGGATTTATGAAGAAATTGACGATAGCGAATTGGAAGACGAGGCGTCGTAAAAGCATTTTAACACGTGCATTTACAAAACGAAACAATGCATACCCTCTTATAATAAATACTGTAGCCATAGTCATAGCAAGGAAAGGATTATTTTTTATATCAACGTCATATGACAAACTTCTGGCGAGTGACATCTGCAGACGACGAGGACGGCGATACTGCGTCCTCGATCTCGGATGTATTTACAACTGTACGTTGTATCCTTTGCCCGATTTTGGTCGTGCTTGTTTGACGCTCTTTTTTGTTGTTGCTGTATATTGACAGATGCTTAATGTGAATGAGGACATTATTACAGCGACAGCTGAATGCCAAGCAGACGGAGACATTAGTGGACTCATTGCGTAAGAACCTCTATCATTTAATATAGAGAATATACGACTTACTAATAACTTGATTTAATGTCACTATGTATAGCTACCAGTGCATTCTCCATCGGGATCTAATGGAAATGGCCGAGTTCATTGACTCCATCTTTGGTGTCTATAGCAGTATTCACACTATCAACAATAGCACTAGTGATACTACTAGTAGTACAGTATGAAAGCCTTGTATGGTTTCTATGATTGGGTTTGTCGCTTGATTCTAATGTTATTGTTGTTGTTGTTGTTGTTTTGTTGTTATTGGCACAGCTACTGCAGCAAAAGAAGAGTGATGAGTCGGAGCATCATCTGATTGATCTGACTGCTGAAGTTGCAGAGGACAAAGCATTTGCTCCCACAGCAGAGACTTTTCCTACGGTAGGTAAGAAGAAGTTGGTACGACAGAATACACAGCGTGGTGCACTGCTTGCAGCTATTGAAGCTGGGGAGAAGGTTCGGGAGACTCGGCGATCCAAAGAGCAGTGGATCAAGTCACGGCATCAAGTGCTTGAAGAGGAAGGCGTTAGTGCAATAACGAACAAAAACTCTAGCGGTATGTTGGAGATTGCCAGCACGCAATTGGGAGAGAAGGAAACGCAACAAGAGAATGGAGGATTGGCGTTGGCGAATCAGCTGCGGGCACACCAACATGTTGCTGCGTTCTTGCAAACATTCAACGAGACGACACCAGCAGGCCCTCCGCCCACTATGAACGTTTTGCTTGCCAACCAGTTAGCTATGCATGCCACAGCTCCACCTTTGGCAGTCCCTGCTCCACTTTTGCCATCAATGTCGGTAGCAACCATTGCTGCTGCGACAAAACCGATTAAGCCAAGCACAGCCGGAGATAGTACCCCCAAGATCGCGCTGCCGCCAGCACATTCCATGTATGATATGCTCTTTTCTTTATCAGGGATATTTAATCCGCAAGCCACCGCAGGATTTATGCCACTGCTGCCGTGGCAGCAGCAAGCTCGAACAGCAATGCCCGCTCGAACTTCAGGTAAATCTATTCGCTGTTGTATCACGCTCTGTGAAAAGACTAAGTAGAACTGTGCTTTGTACTTGCTTTGTGTAGTGAAGACGCCTTATTTAAAAAGGATGTGTGAATCATGTCGTAAGCGGCATTTTAGTGTTCGTCAATGCCGTCTCGTGCTTCAACATTCAGATCCTGAGTGGCAACCTGCACAGCCGCCACCAGCCAATCGACGACGGAGGCGCAAGCAATCCGCTTCCAATACCACCAAACAAGTAACTTAAACTTTCCAAGCACTACTCTTTAAGTTTGACATTCTTTAGCAAGGCAGACCTCGTCGGTTGCTGCTCCAGCGCAGCGATTACCACCTACCTTGTCACACAGCAAGCGAGGAGTGCAAAGCTTCCGGCAAGTTACTACAGTCCGAGAGAATGACGATCAGAGCATCAGCTATTGGCAACATTAGTTTGATGGAGGGTAGGATACTAACGCACCTCTTCTTTCTCCTCACGTGTTTGCGTCCGACGCGCATAGTACGTGTCCAAATGCTTCTTCGGGATCTTTTTGAGCAGCTCTTTCGGGAACGCACGGAAAAGCGACCATGCGAGGTCCAACGACTCGAAGATATCACGCGACTGGTATGGGCCCTGTGCGATGAACTTGCTTTCGAATTTGTCCGTGAACTTCAGGTACAGGTGATCTTCCAGCGACAACGCTTCTTCACCAACTACAGCCTTCATGGCCTGAACATCCTTGCCAGTAGCATAACTGGCATACTGTACACACGAGGGCAAGCACCACAAATAATGAATAACAGATCGACAGGCGCATATATTCTGTTCGAGTATCCACCTACCAGCTGGTTCGACACGGCGCTGTGGTCGTCACGCGTCATACCGTCGCCAATAGCACTCTTCATTAGACGCGACAGTGACGGCAGCACGTTAATGGGCGGGAAGATCTGACGGTTGTGCAACTGGCGATCCACATAAATCTACGACAACAGTCAAATGGAACCAATGTGAGCAGATCAACGTACTTTCGTAACTGCGACAATATAGTGAGGCACAGATAGTACCTGTCCCTCTGTAATATAGCCCGTCAGATCCGGAATGGGGTGCGTGATATCATCGTTGGGCATGGTCAGAATGGGCAGTTGCGTGATGGATCCATTGCGGCCTGTCACCCGACCAGCACGCTCGTATAGTGTCGACAGATCCGTATACATGTAACCGGGGTAACCACGTCGTCCGGGCACTTCTTCACGCGCTGCAGAGACTTCACGAAGAGCGTCGGCATACGAACTCATATCCGTCAGAATGACCAACACGTGAAGGTCGCGCTCGTAGGCAAGATACTCAGCAGTGGTCAACGCCAGACGCGGCGTCACAATACGTTCAATAGTAGGGTCGTTAGCTAGGTTCATGAAGAGCGCCGTCTTTTGCATAGATCCACTCTCTTCGAAATCATTACGGAAGAATCGGGCCGTCTCCATGTTAACGCCCATAGCGCCAAAAACAATGGCAAAGTTGTCCTCATGCGAGTCTATGACGTCCTTGCGCTGCACCAGACCAGCCTGACGCACAATTTGTGCAGCAATCTATACAGTCAAAGCCATACCGACGTAAGAAGGCAAACTGATACAATATCTTTGTGTAGACAGCTAATGAGCCTGTGTCTACCTACCTCGTTGTGGGGTAAACCAGCAGCAGAAAAGAGCGGAATCTTTTGTCCACGAGCGATGGAGTTCATCACATCAATAGCAGAGATACCCGTCTGGATCATCTCCTTGGGGTAGTCACGACACGACGGATTAATCGGTTGTCCTTCAATGTCCAAGTATTCCTCAGCTACAACAGCAGGGGCGCCGTCGATAGCTTTACCAGAACCATTAAAGGCGCGACCCAGCATTTCTTCAGAGATGGCCATCTTGAGCACATCACCCGTGAATTCACAGTGCGTATGACGATTATCAATACCATCCGTTCCTTCAAAGACTTGAACAACAGCTTTGCTTCCCTGTACTTCAAGTACTTTACCCTGACGTTTTTCACCACTGGCCAATGTCAAATTGACAATTTCAGCGAATTTGGGCAGCTACAAAAAGATAATTTTGCACGTCATGAGAAGAAAAAAGAGAAACTTTTCGTAGCAATAATTCAATAGCAATTACTTCTATTACTACCACACCTTAACATTCTCTAGAATGACGAGCGGTCCATTTACACCTGAAATCGTACGATAATCTGAGCATCAAAAAGATTGTAACGAGCTCCGTTATAAACACTTGCTACGCATGACAAATGTCCCGTTTTAATTAACAAGATACTAACCAATTCGTGGTTCAACGTAATAGTCTCGCACAACTGCCGCTGCATTTGCCTGAAAGGCCTGTTCTACTGTTGTTGCCATCGTTCTTCTTATAAAAAAAAGATTCCAGGATTTCTCCCTTAAGTTTTCTTCTTCGTCCTAAGTACGAAACATATTGGCTTTAGAGGTTAGCTTCATCAATATATCTATATCTATATGCATACACACAATACTAATATGATGGGGTCGAGGGAGAGTGTACTGATTGATACCAATAAGAAGGAAACGCGCAAGCTGCCCCTCCTTTGTTTCAACTTGTTGCTTACTCGTCTTTCTTTATCGACTTGCAATGATCCACAACATCCTCGTTGATATTGTTAGAGACGGAAGCAGTGGCTTCCTCATCAGCAGCCGATGCAACAGCGGAAGCGGCGGCTTCATCGCTAGTGTCGTGTACGCCAGCAGGTTTCATACGCTGCAGCTTTTCAAGCCATGATACAGCACTACCCGATGTATTCGACGGATCGAACGAACCCCGGGTCGAAAGTTGCTGTGGAGAATAGATGAAAACTTCCTCCTTGAGCTTTTTCGTGTAATTGTCCTTAGTCGTCCACTTGGCGCTTTGCTGACGCAGCAAAGCCACCAGTGCCTCTCGACGACGCTCCACTTCAGCGTTCCGTTCCTGACGCACCACCACCTTCTCCTCGAAATGTTTCCTACACAAAAGACCCGATGCCGTGAACAACCGTGCAGCCTCCAGAAGTTTATTGACTAAGCAGGATATCTCACCTGACTTTCTCGTTGTGGATGGTCTTCTCACGAGCGACCTCCTTAGCACGGATAACCTGCTGCTGGCGCTTGATCTCTAGTCGAGCTGCCTTAGCCTTTAGAATCTTCTGTCGCTGAGCCCTGTACACATGGAACACGTACGTTGTCAAGTTAACCAGATGCCCTCTTTCCTGTCTCTTTAACCTTTGCTACATCAATCCTACTCTGCATCACGTGCAAGCTTCTCTCTACGACTCTTCTCCTCTTTAATAAACTCTTTACGCAGCGACGCAATCTCATTACGGTACTCGACACGTGACTGGACGAATGAGTAACTCTCCGACGTATTAGCGGCTAATGATGTTGAGAACTGTAGCAAGAGTAGAAGAAGAAGTTTCATTTGTTAGTTGCAGTCGAGACATTGCAAAGTTATATAAAGTGGGCTATTAGTGTACCAATCGAGCAACACATCCGTTCTTTGCGACGGTGGAAAACCTTGTACAAGAAATCATAATGCAAGACGCAAAATACTGGCGACCACACGTTGCAAACCGTGAATTATGTAGCTGCTCGCCTCGGTTTTAACGTAATCTTATAATTTTTCAAAATTAATAACAAACGCTCTGTTAACGCTCTGAGACACAATATCCTCAAATTTATGATAATACAGGTCTCCCTCCAATAGCTTATGATTACATTGTAACAGCTTACCGAGAGAGACAACCTATTGGAGGACTGTTTGCATTAGAAGAAGAATGCAAAGCTAATAAGAGTATCTTTTATAAATTAACAAAGGTTTTATTATGTCGGGGGTCGATGACGAGAAAATAATATAAAAAAGCAAAAGCCACCCTTGTTACTTATTTTTGTCATGCCATACGTTAAGTATACGCCGTGGTATACTTTTATTTATTTTTTATTTTTAATATATTCTTTGAATTACAAATGCTCCACTACTGTTTAATATAACTTGCCGCTTCGGTTATTTTTATAAGTCTCGATACATTTTAAACGCGAGAAAACTAGACCAATAGCTATTATGCGTTCCTTAGATGATAGTCACTTCCAAGCCGTTGCAATTATTTTTATACTTTTTTATACTTATTTGTAGAAAATGTTGCAATCAACTGGGCTGTTTCCTTTCGACAAAAGACCATAGCGCCTAATATCAGTCTTTTATAAAAAAAAGAATTTCATATTGGGTGTTTTCAAGAGTTTAGTAAGTTAAAGTAGCCAAGAATCAGCCATCCGACTCAAAAGACGTAGTATGTTCCATGATTCGCTCGGGCAGAAGCTCCTTACGCGGCAAATTAAATGTATCAATGCGCCGCAAGATTACGGCGTCGTCCGATGAATCAGACGACCGGTCTTTCGAGCCGTTTAAATCACACTGGGCTTAGAAGGCTAGACGTGATGTCGCTTCTTATATTTAAATCACGCAGGAGGACAGCGAACGCATGTCCTTCATGTCGCTCCTGAAATCAAGCCGCAGATGCTAGATCGATACATGGCAGGCAAGCACTTCTTAGCTTACTTTGGGCGCCGTAAATCTTGCGGCGCATTGATATATTTAGTGTGCCACGTCCCCTTGGGAAAGGAGCCACTGTCCGAGCGAATTAGAGAACATACTTTGTGCCATTAAGTCGAATGCCTAAATTGACTAATTCTAGGCTACTACAACTTACTAAACTTTCAACGTCTTCAAACGCACCGCTAACAGTAACCAGAGCACTTCATCGGCGATAGGAATATAGCCGCTTCCTTCATCACTGTGACCATCGCAATGACCATGAGTCCTCAAGATGGTGTGAGCAGCGTATTGCATCAGGCGCACAACATCAATTTCTCAAAGTCATCGAGCGAACTCGACGACAAAACGCTGATATACATCGTAGCGACAGTGGTATCCACATCACTGTCGGACTACACAGTCGGCTCAAAATCGGACCGACATGGGGCGCATTGGCGACGACGTAAATTCGTCTCGGTGTATTTATCGCGGCGTTTATATACTCCGCGAAGAACGACAACCACCTCGCCATTCGTTGCGAGAGGTGTGGACTGTGTACAGCCGTGTGTAACGACGCATGGTCTGTATACACAATGAAAGGTATATCTCCTAAGAGATAGACGCGAAGCTAGCAAGTGCATATTTCATGGCAAGGAGTTCCTTATCATGAACCGGGTAATTGCGCTCAGCCGGTTGCAGCTGACACGATTGATAACAGACGACACGCTCTGCGCCTTCTGTATCATATTGCATCAGTGCACAGTCTGTAGCGGAGCTACACAGCTCTTTAGCCAGAGGAAGACTTTCGGCTGGAAGCCTCTTAGTTCTAGAGAACTAAATAGAGTGAAGGCTAAAAGCCACTTAGTTCTGAGGAACTAATTAAACGACTTAAAGTCACCCTGTTCTAAGGAACTAGGAAAGAGACTTTTAATCAATCAAGCAATATGCTTAAGGTTCAGAGAACCAACGCACAGAGTGCAAGAACAAGCTAGAAGCTTAGGGGTTCAGAGAACCAACGCACGAAGTGCACAAGAGAACAAGTCAGAACGACTTGCGATCTTAAACTCAAAAGGAGAACTGATTATATTTATGCTTTAAGATTTTATGAATAGTCCTACTCTAAGTACACTACACTAGATTAATTACTATAATAGTAATTATTATATGCAGACTTTGCTATTGGACGACGTATCGCCTAAACATCTGTGTATATGTACTTAATACAGCGTTAGTGATTTATCGAATCCCAATCGATAAGATACGGTATTACCGAATACCGTATTATAACGCTCATACTTAATACCTCTCTAAAGAGAAGTATAATAATGCATTATATGCAATAGAAAGGAGAGTTTAAGCGTAAACTCTCGGAAAGACGCTACAACCGTCGTGTAACCCCGTTACACCCTCCCCCACCAGACTGACGTTCCCATAGAATGTCACTCGACATCTTTCCTCATAGAGGTAGTGCTTTAGCGAACTTTTAAAACCTCACGGTTTGTTCACGGCACACAACATGACGCCTCCCGGCAGTGAGTCACAGACTCTTAGGGACCTTATTGAGGACGACCTTGACGAAGCGGTTGATTACGAAAGTGACACCGTCTTTGTGGGACCCGATGGGTCCCCTTTAGCCACCCTCACGGGTGAAGATGACACTCGTCATGCACCGAATCCGTTCCCTGAACGTGGTGCAGCAGATGCGCTAACAGCGTTACGTGACCCGCCTGACGTATCATCAACGGTAACGGTTACCAATCCACTCGACGAGCAGCAACAGCGGTCCATCGACCAAGAGGAAGGCGCCAAGCGCCGAACGAAGAACATGACGCGGCTGCAGGACCACCGACAGTACAGGTTCAAGCCACCTACGGTGGAAGAACGTCTAAAGGAAGCATCTGGGCATTCCCTTTCTGGTTGGACCATTGGGCCTGAGGCCATTTCACCTGAGGATGTTGCCACACGCACGGCACTTCGACAACGGTATCTGGAGCCCCATATCACTACTCAAAGCCAATACTTGGCACGCCTTAATAGGCAAGTGCGCGGTGCGCCAGTTCCTCCGATGAAGGGTGTTCCCATCCTTCTGTTCGCGGGGGAAACCGAGGAAGAAGAAGACACGGCTTTCAGCCGCTGGGCGCATTATGCGCGACGTTTAAGCAGCATGTGGGCCCTACGGGCAAGTGCCGATGTGGCAGATGTTCGACTTGAGCGGAAGATGCGTTATGATTACGCTAAATTGAAGGCCCGGGGGAAATTGAAATCCCAACGAACGCATTATGCGCCTGCTGCCCAGCAGCCCAATGTTTCGGCTACCCCTGTAGCCGCGAGTTCACGACAGCCCGAGGCCGCTAACCCGCCTACCCTCACCCTTACTGGTGAGAAGCGTCAGCGCCAACAGACAGACCCTGCGCACGACGCTCAAAAACGTCCACGGCGTACGGGCAATCCTGCCGAAGGGGAGTCTCAAATTCCCATGAATTCCATGATTCGGGATAACCCCGCCATTTCACCAGATACTGGTTTTGACCATGGCGGCGACGCTTCTGCAGTAGACGCTCCACATGGAACTGCAGGTTCCCCTGCGCATCGAGCAAAGGAGGAGGAGGTCGGTGTATCGGAACAAGCTCATGCCGAGCTTGTTCAGGAGGTGCGGACCCTTCGTGAGGAGAGGCAGACGATGAACTCCCGGCTTGAGTCCCTGGAAGAGAGTCGGACCCGAATGCAGGGTCAACTTGACTTGTTGGTGCAGATGCTCCGTCCCGCGACAATGCCAATGGGCCCGGCGCGAGCGCCTTAGCGTCTATTTGGGACGGATCCCGATAAGGTTTCAACATGGCGACATAGAACACAGGATGTGTACGCAATTTGCGCGGCAAGTTAAGCGTATACGCTGTGCCTTTCTTGGCAATGACCTTAAAGGGTCCGATAAAGCGCGGACGCAACTTCGTCTTAAAGACAGCGGATACTACATTGGTAGGTAGGTTTTTAGCATTAAGTAATACTTGGTCTCCGACCTCATAATCATTAATACAACCTCTGCCTTTCGCATCTGCATATTCCTTTTGTTTATCTTGACTATCAGCCATTGCATCTTGCACATGTCGTAAGACATTTAGTCGCGTTGCGAGAAACGCATTTACCTGTTTCCTAACAGTATTAGGGCTGACATCAGCAAGCCGATCGGCAACCTCTCCCCCACCAAGCCCTGAACCACTCGGTGGTAGCGTTAACGGAACGCGTGGGTGTGTGAGACCATTGACATAGAACGGAGTGTAGCCGGTGGAGGCGTGCACGGAATTATTGAGTGCAAACTCAACTACAGGGAGCATAGAGCTCCAACGCTTAGGCGTTTCAGCACAAACGCTGCGTAGGATATCTTCAACAACGCGATTTACGCGTTCGGTTTGACCATCGGTCTGCGGATGATCCGCCGTGGACATGTCCAAACGGGTGCCCAGCACCTGGAAGACGGACTTCCAAAATTTACTCGTAAAACGAGGATCACGATCAGAAACAATTGCTACTGGCAAGCCATGTTGGCGAAACACCCGATCGATAAACAGCTCCGCTGTACCCACACCATCGATCGAATCTGGCACAGCCGCTAAGTGAGCCATCTTGCTCAAACGGTCAACAAAGACCACAATACCTGTATTGCCATGCGAATCTTTCGGTAGGCCAAATACAAAGTCCATACTAATGGACTCCCAGCACCCAGTGGGAATAGGCAAACTAGCCAGCGGCGCTGCCGAATGGGGCGAGGGTTTCACCCGCTGACACATTTCACACGTACGCACATATGTGCTCACCCATTTGTATAATTTGGGCCACCAATAACTTTGGCATATTGCCCCATAGGTCTTTTCACGACCCAAATGACCACCGATGGCGGTGTCATGTACCTCATAGAGGATACGATGCTTCAGGTCCTCGTCATGAGGAACTACAATACGCGGAGGATCCGCTACATCTGTACGATAGTACAACAGCCCCTCATCG